TGGGGCACCCAGGCACCCTGCAGGCAGGGGCTGCTCTGGCCTGGCTGGAGCAGATCCTGGCTGTGGTGGGGTGAGGAGGGGGTGGTTGCTCAAGCCTCCCCATCCCGCCCTCCCCTTTACTCAGTTCACCAATTAAATGGAATTTTTACATCTCTAGTGCAGGATGAGTGAGTTGCAGCCTGTTCCAGGTGCTAGCAGTGATGACAGAACAGAAGCAGGAAATAGATGACTTGGGTTTTTAAATGAGTCTGCTGGTATTGGGATGCTTAACAGTCCGCTTGGCCTGGCACAGAGTAACTAGCACCTGAACAAAACCCATTTAGAGGGTAAAAAATAATTCAAGCTAGCAAATAGGCAGTTTTCAGATCCCACATCCCTTGTTTGTGTGGGGTAGCTTCGAGCCTGTTTCACCACTGTACGAGAGTGTCTTGTTACAGTGCAAGAAGTGCAGTCGCACCCCAGTGGCAGGGGGCAGATGCAGAACTCCATTGTGGCTTTTTCTAAATATGTACAATGATGGGATGCTAGGCTTTCCCCGATCCTCACCGTTTGGCTGTGCTGTATGGTACGACGGGGGTGGGAGGAGGAGAGGAAGTAGGTGGATGGTTCTGTAACTCCATGGGTCAGTGTCTCAAGTCAAGTGGACTGATTGTGTATGTCTGAGTGGAAGCAGTGGTGGAGCTTTAATTTTTAGTAATTGTGTGTGCTTTACCCTCCCCCTAGTTTGAGTTCCTCCCCATTAGGGCAGCAGGCCTCTGCTGGGGTCCCTAATCCTTCTTTACAGCCATTTACTCTCAGCAGGGCTTTGACAGTGATCAGGACTAAACCTCAAACAATGGGAGATCTTGCTAAAATGCAGCACTGTTGACTGCCCATTTGAGGGCTGGAATTAACTCTGTGGTAGGGATGTCAATGTGTATTTGACTACATGATTAACCAGTAAACCTTGGCTTATTGGTTAATCTTGTTGACTCCATGCATTCTCCCTCCCCCTCCCTTGTGGCCTCTGTATCAGAGGCAGCTGATAGAGGCAGCAGTGCAGAGGGTGAGGGAGCCAGGCTGGAGCTGATATGCATGGGAAGCTGGCTTTCAAGTAGGCTCCCCGTGCACACTGACTCTGTGAACCCTGCTGTCACCCCCCCTTGCTGGTCTGCGGCAGCGGCCTGTCCGCAGGGTCTGCTGCCACCTCTGTATTAGGGATGTTAAAGAATAGTCGACTATCTGATAAGCATTTCCTTATCGGATAGTCTTTTGATAACTTCACTAGTTGATTCTCCCCACTGCCCCTATGAGAGAGGGGCAGCATGCTGGGGAGGGGTATTTCAAAGTGGCAGTGCTGCACCGCTGCTCCTTTGAAACCTCAAGGCAGTGTGCCGCTGCACGGATCAGCTGTGCGGCGGCTGCCCCTTTAAAACACTTCCTCCGCGCATTTCAAATGGAAAGTAATGGAGTCTGGGATCAGCTGATCCTGGGCTCTGCTAGACATTTCCCCAGAACCCGCGGTCAGTTGGGGAGTCCCCAGCTGACCCCGGGTTCCGCTGCCGCGCAGAGTCTAGAATCACCTGGGGAGTCCCCAGCTGACTCCAGGCTCCTCGTGGTGTTTCCCCAGAACTCTGGATCAGCTGGGAACTCCCCAGCTGATACCAGGCTCCTTCCGGCACTTCCCCAGAACCTGGGGCGGGTTCCGAGAAAGTGCTGTGTGGAGCCGGGGTCAGCTGGGGAGTCCTCAGTTGACTCTGGGCTCCTAGTGGCATGCAGAGTAGCATGGAGCCCAGGGTTAGTGGTGGGGACTCTGAGTCCCCTGCTGACCCTGGGCTCCATAACTTTGAAATGCACAGTGGGGACTCTTGTGCATTTCAAAGCAGGCATCTTTGTGCAGCCCGGAGCCCGGAGTCAGCAGGACTTCCCGCTGGCCCCGGGCTGTACGCAGAATTCTGCATTCCTCCTTTGAAATGTGCAAGAGCCTCAGCGGGGGCTCTTGTACATTTCAAAGGAGGAATGTGGAAGTGCCTATCGACTAGTTGATGGAAATTCCATCGACTAGTCAATTAACTGCATTTTAACATCCTTACTCTGTATCAGCTGGTCTGCATAGGGACTTGGTTTTTGAACTGGCTCTCCTGGCTGATGGGCTCTCACCTGCCACTCTGTGCCG